TTGGTTTGAGTCTACGATCAACTTGCCAGCTAATCCCCATCCCCTCCGTCTTCCTCTCGCTTTCTCTGATCTCTCTCTCTCTCTTCTTTCAAGCCTCAGACAAAATAGAGAAGAGTAAGGAAGGTTGGTGGCTTTTAAGGGCAGGTGAAATATCCATTATGCCCTTCACTTAATTTCTCATTTCTAATGCTATCCTTCCTCTATAATTTTGAAATTATGAAATAAATCCAGAAGTTATTCCACAATATATTATATGGATTTTTATTATCCAATAGCTTCTTTGTCCCCTAAAATAATTTCCATAAAAATTTTGGGTCAAAAATCTTCTCCTAGCTCTTTTTTCTTGAATTTCTTAGGAAAATAGTCATTAATTCCAGAAATTAATCCTTAACCCATCTTAAGGATTTTATGCCTCAATTAGCTTCTTTACTTCATGAAATAATTATTCTTAAATTTTCAACTCAAATCCGTATCTCTAATTATTTTTCCTTGAATTTCTAGCAAAATAAGTCATTTCTGCTCCAAAAATTAAGTTTAAAATTATTTAAGCCATTTTTAGGGAAATGGGCTTCTCCATAAAATTTACAAGATCTCAAAATTAATTCCCTATAATTTTCTCCATTTTCATTTAGGCTTTAAATAATTTTAAATAAAATTTCTCTTTTTTGCTTTTCCTAAGTTGGCAAATTTTGGGTGTTACAGAATAACTCAATTTTGATTTTCCCAGATTTAGTTATAATTTTTCAAAATTTGCCAAATTATGAGTTGCTATGAATAGTAACCTGAGGACTATATTTTTCAAAGTTAATTTTTTTAAAACTTTTGGCCATCAAATGTGATTCCATTTGCTTTTAATTGGTTAGTTATTTGGTGTAAAGTGAAGATGTTATATAAGGCTTTTTCATGAAGGCATTATAAGAACAAAAAAGAATAATTAGAAGCCAAAACAGAGGTGGAAATTCTTATTTGAGGTAGAAGAACTTCATTTTCCAGGAGTAAAGTGAGCTACGGCATACTCTGATTTGGCTGCAACCCAACAGAAATAGAGACAAACTTGATCATGGTGCAAAAAATTTAGGCCACTGCACACTCATTGATAACAAGACGCACAGCTCAACTAAGCCTAAAAATTTTAAGGCCACATTTTGACTTTGGCCACCATTATGTACTTCTTGGACATTCTAGGGAGCTTTGCATGCTAGGATTTGGGTGCTTGAAGAGTTTGGAGCAAGGGATTGAGATTTGGAAAAGATTTGGAGCTTCATCTTCTTGTTTTTTCTACTTCCACTTTCTTTCCTCTCTTATAATATGCTATAGCTGTGAATTTTCTTTGTATTTGTTGCTTGTGGCTGACTATGAATAGCTAAATACTTTGTTCTAGGATTATTTTCGATATAAGGCTTGTATGGATCAATTCTTGATTACTCATCTCATTTTGTGATTAATGATATGTGTGTGTGTGTGTGTGTGTTTATTTTATTCTTTTCTTAATGCTTCTAAATGCTTGATCACCATTTAGTTGATTTGTTCACTTGATTAATGTTTGAGAAGGCTATGTTGAGTGTAGAACTTAGATAAAATTGTGTAAAAACTTAAAGTTTACTTGTTAAATGGATGGTTTTATTGGTAAGATAGAGATATACTTACCAACTTTGCATAGTCACTTTAGAATTAGAACTTAAAATTAGGTTTTATTAATAGGAACAAGAGATTGAGCAATTAATGAAATTAAACAATTGTTCTTGAATTAAGAAATCTTTTACAAGTACTTTTTGAATCCTAGACTAATATATATTTTCATTAAGAACATTTATGAGTGGAGATAAATTAAAGGTAATGCAAAGGGAATGAATAATCCTAGGTCCTTTTTATCCCTTAAAAGTTTAAGAATAAATTATTTTCATTACTTTCTAGTTTTAAAATTAGTTTTCAAAATTCACTTTACCCCTCAAAAATATTTGTTTAGTTCACTTTTATTAAATTCACTTAGTCTTTTGTTTGATCTTGGTTTTTGCACAAATCTCTATGGAAACGATTTTTTCTCATTATTGTATGACCCATGCACTTGCAGTGTGAACAGGATTCGAGCAAACGACTGTTTATGTTTTCATTGTTTAATTGGTAACATGAATATGTTTTATTCATGTTTAATTTCATTTATTGTTTCTATATAATTTTTTACAATCATTAATATTCAATTTTATTGTCTTCTAAGAGCTTTGTGGCCGTACTACATAGATCAAGGCTTACCCTACTCCTTGTCAAAGCCAGCTAGTTCAACTTAATGTCCTCATGGAAGAAAGTGAATGTATTCATCACCATTATTTACTATTCAACTAAATATAGTTTATTGATATCATTAAGTAATATATTTTCCTTTGCCATTCTTTATAGTACCCACATCAGCCAAATGAAAGCTCAGATTGTGGGTATTTGTGATAAAATTCATGAAGAAGATACTTATGCACAATTCGGACATAATCCCTGCAAAAATAATATGCATTTGTTAAAGTTTAATTTATATATTTTAGAATTATACTTAAGGTAGCTATCCATTTGTATCTAACTTTAATTTGTTTTTGTTGTGGTTTTGGCAATTGGCCAATTTTAGTTTTGGCTTAGGATTTGGCCAATTTAGTTTTGTTTTTGCCTTTCATACTTGTCTAATTTTGATTTAGCTTTAGACCACATTGTATGACATTTGGTTTGTTAAAATATATATAATGTAAATTTCTGTTTGGTGGTTAATTATATTGAGATGTCTAATATTTGTTGCTGCCTAGTTCTGTTTATTGTAGTATGCTTTCTATTTTTTTTCATAATGCAGGGGGCTGCTAGAAAAACAGCCACCCTATTTTGTAAAAAAAAAAAAAAAGAATACCAACAATACTTAACAATTATATTCAATTAATAATCGTCAAGTATTTATCACAATATTTGATGTTTATTGTCAATAACCGTCAAGTATCGATCAAGTTTCAATAACCTTCAAGTAAAGAAAACTAGAAGATGATAAATAGGATCACAATACTTGATGATTTTATTATTAAAACTGTTAAGTATTCTCACAAATATTTAACAGTTAATAACCATCAAGTATTGGCCATACAAATATATGACGCCTACATATTTGATAGTTATTAACCGTTAAGTATTGACTAAAATAACTATCAATTATTTACATTTTGTAGTAGTGTTGCTTTAATTTAATTACATTAAATCTGTATTCCCATCCAATAAAACGCATTAAATCATTTTACCAAAAAAACGCATTAAATAAGATTTAAAGCGTATTTTTCGAGTATTATATGAGTTCATGACATCATTTGTGTTTTCTTTGGCATCATGATCATTAGAAACTGATCAATGAATCACGCCAGACGGAGACATGTATTGGGTCAGTGACTTAAAAAGTTGGCAAAAATGATCTTATCAAACATAGCTCATACCATAAAAATATGTTTATTATGTTTTTGGAATATAAATGAAAATATTTATTATCAGATCTTTTTAAAATTTAAGAGATTAAAATGTCAACTTTAAAGAGGCAAATTTTTAAATAACAATGATGACTGACAAACGAGAGGAATAAAAACATTATGGATTTCGTGATAAAGTGTATCATTACATAATTGAAAAGTTTACCTTTTAAAATTTTAAAATGAGAATATAACTTCTATAATCTATTTTCTAATTTATTGAAGCATTTCACGCGGTGCTCATACCAGTCCTTATTATTCATAAACGGTCCGGTATAAACAACCTCCTCTAACTATGACGAACTTCTTTGATACTAATTTAAAATTTTAAAAGCTTTAATTGTGTTTAACTAAATTTATTAATTTGCATAAAATAATTAATAAGAGCTCATAAAAAAAATATAGTTTCCGTTCCACGGAACAAGGACATATAAATATAGTTCTTAAGCCAGTAAACACGCTGAATGAAATATTTTGTCAATCTCTATGGATATATTACTTGCACGCAACTTCACTACTCTTCACATGAGCCTATAAAACTTTTAATAATGTAAACAACATCAACAATATGGGTTATTTATTAACAAGTGACATTGATGATGGCAACCTCGTTCATTTAATTTTTTATCATATAATAAAATATAAACACCAGAGGTTAAAAGCGTTTATATATTTGTTATCCTTTATCCAATACAAGAAATTCACATATCAATTATGTCGATAGAAGGTCGAACTTGCAATTTCACGCTTAAGAGAGATTTAAGGCCGACTACTATAGATGTACATAGAAGTAGTTTATAAAAGAAATAATCCCAAAAAAAATACTTTTAAATTTCAAAATTTCTAATCAGTATTGTTAACTATACTTAATCAATTAACAACGTTTGTAAAGCAAATGACGACACATTTTTGTAGTCATTCCTGATTTAGGATTTCAAAATTTTACAGGTATTTTTTTTTTTGGATTTTCCTTTTATAAATTGTTTGATATTGTAAATGAGATAAGCACCAAGAAATTGGCTGCATGTTGAAATAATCTCTGAAGAAATGGTCTATAATCGGTTTGAACTGATCAGAGATATATTTTGCCATGTATGTATCGTTCAAAAAGAAATAAAAATATTCAAACTATAGGCATACGTGAATAAGAAGAGGACAGGTTGGATTAAAAAAAAGAAGAAAAAGGACAATTGTAGTGACAGAAATAGTTTACTATATATCTCTTGATGCCATCCTCATGTCATCCACTAGATTTAACTATAAAATAAGTGAAAATACAGGTGTCCTTTGGTCAATGATCAGAAGCAACAAGTAAGTTAAAGAGATAAGCACTACGAAAATAGGTTAATCCCTGAAGAAATGGTGAAGCCACCATCATCTCCTACACATCATCGACATCTTCGTCACACACTCACTCACACACACACACACACACACACACACAAACACACAGAGATACACACACAACATATAAACATAGACAAATCACACAATAAGACACTCATCCTCTGCATGCTAAGTGACGATGACCCTCGAAATGGAAGTAATCTCCAAAGAAACCATAAAACCTTCGTCTCCAACCCCTCCCGATCTTCGACGTTACCAACTCTCTTTCCTCGACCAAGTCTCTCCATTAGTGTATAATCCTCTTGTCCTGTTTTACGCTGATCATAATGTTTCTGCGAATCCTAGACAGGATAGCTCCGACATGCCCTCCATTACCGACCACCTCAGAAGATCATTGTCCCATGTTCTAACTCACTACTATCCTCTCGCTGGGCGACTCATAGATAATACCTTCATAGACTGTAACGACGAGGGAGTGCCATACTCAGAAACCAGAGTGAAGGGCCAGCTCTTGGATTTTATTCAAAACCCTAACCCTTCTGAACTTAACTATTTGCTTCCATTTCAACTTGACAAGGTCACTGAGATAACCTTCGGTGTTCAGGTTAATGTCTTCGAGTGTGGTGGGTTTGCAATTGGCGTTTGTATGTCTCACCAGATCTCAGATGCTTTGTCGTTTTTCACGTTTCTCAATTGTTGGGCTTCTCTTGCTCGTGGTAATGGACAAGCTGAGTTGACAAGTAATCCAAGGTTTGTGTTTCTAATCAACGGTTCAAACATTTCCATTCTTTTAATAGCAAAACCCTTCCATCTTCGTGAGACTGTTGAGTTTGAAGAAGTTTTTTTCTTTACAATGTTTTGTTAACAAATTTTCTATCAAGTACAACTTTTCTTTCTCTTTTCTTTGGGGAAATGTTTTATTAAAATACAGCATGTCAAATTCTCCAATCGCCATGTGTCCTAATTTTAAAATATTAATATTTAATAGTATTTAATTATAAATCCATATGAAACAAAAAAGGACACATGATCATGGAACTTGATATAGTGGATATAAGTAACTTGACATAAGTTTTTTTTTTTCCTTTATTAAAATTTAGAAAGGAAAAACTACTTCAGTATTTTCTCTCACAATCAACTTCTTTTGGGATTTGAGTCTTTTGCCGTTAGCAAAATTGTTTAGTTTATCGAGAGAGATAAACATAAAAGAAAAAAAAAATCATTGTACGTAGAGGAAAATATTGTTATGCAAACTCATTTTTGTATCAGTAATGTACAATAACTAGATGGTTGTAATTTGACTCTTTTGTATAACTTTCGATTTAATACTTAAATTTTGTGATAATATGGGCACTAGTTTTCTCTTTAAGTTGTTCAAGGTTTGCATTACTTGCCAATCAAAATGGGTCACATGGGTATTTAATTGTCAAAAATTATATTGACATTAATTAATTAAGAAAACCGTGTGGATTGTTTGTTTGACCCATTTAACCCAATATTTTACTCACACGACTTGAGTAAATTAGGATTTAATTTCACCTCTTTGTAGAATTCTCTTCCCAAACTTATGATTTCATACGGGCACACATTATCCAATTCAACATGTCATCCTAATCAGTTTTTAATAACTGGAACTATATTTCTTTGTGATAGGTTTGTGTCGGCTAATCTCTTCCCACCGAAAAACACAACAGGATTTGATGCTAGATCTGGGATCGTAAAGGACAACAAAATCTCCAAAAGGTTTATTTTTAATGCTTCAGTTATCGAAGCTCTCAAGACAAAATATGCTCAAACCGATGAGAAGCTCCCTTCAAGAGTAGAAGCCTTATCAGCTTTCATATGGAGTCGTTACGTGGCATCCACACAAGATACCCATGGCCCACAAAAAACCTACGCCGTGGTTCACGCCGTCAACCTCCGTCCGAGGATGGAACCTCCGTTGCCTCCGGCCTCCTTCGGAAATTATTACCGTTTTACGATGACGCTTATTCCAACATTAGAGAAAGAAGAGGAATGTAACCATGGAGTTCTGTTTATAAAACAGGTAAGAGAGCAAATGAAGAAGATCGACAAGGATTATGTGAGAAGAATCCAGGAAGGAGCAAGTGAACATTTGGATTTCCTTAAGGATAGTTCGGACAGAGTACTTGTGAAGAGAGAGATGGTTGCATTTAACTTCACCAGTTTGTGTAGGTTTCCAATATACGATGCTGATTTTGGTTTCGGGAAACCTACGTGGGTAGGATCCTGCGCATTGACTTTTAAGAATCTGGTTGCGTTTATCGACACCAAGCATGGTGGTGGCATCGAGGCCTACATTAACTTAACGTTGGAAGATATGGCCAAGTTCGAAGCTGACAAGGAATTTCTGGCGTGTGTTAATAAATCAGAATAGTTTATCCATGCTAGTCTATATTGTCCTATGCTAAAATAGACAAGTTCCGGATCATTAGAACTTTAAATCCAAGTGTGTGTAGACAAAAACAGAAAGTAGTACAAGAATGTGTCAGGTCTTGGTAAATTTCATCTTGCATCCCCCCTTTCCACTAAAAAAGAACTGTTTATAGGCGTTTATGTTATGATATGTCCATATTTGGTATATATACGATACACCAGCCTGAATCAAGGAATTAGAGTTGCTTATATATCTGGTCTTAATTATGCTAAATGTTTTTTTAAATTAAATTATTCAGTCTTCACATAGAGACAGATAAAAGACAATTAAGGACGAATATCTTATAATATTGATAGCTAAGAAATTTTAAAATTTAATACTTTTTTGAATCCTAAATATATATGGGAGCTAATTAGTGATTTTACTTTGATCCTAAATATAATGTTGTGTTTATTATGATGGAACTTGGGTCAAAGAATTGGGAGTGGAAGTGAAACCCATAAATTGAGCTGTTTGTTTTGTGGGAATCCAGTTCCATGCTGAAAAATCCTCTCCTCATTTAATAAAATATTTAATTATTTTAAGAAATGAATCATAGTAGAAAAAGGGCTCACTACTTTATCGCTTAGGAGTCTAGACATAAAAGAATGCCTATAACCAAGCAGCAAAAACCCTCAAAAGTTTAGGGTGCAATAACCACCCACAAACCCATTTCACACAAATAGGAGACTAAGGGCACAAGAGAAAAGGAACGATTCCAACCCACTAGTTATACACTTTTTGAACTCAAGTAAACGTAGCATATAATCCTTTACATATCCAAATCAAATTGTCCTCAAAGATATCCAAAATAAATAAATAAAATTTTTAGATTCACGATCATCCCATTCACAAATATTTTATGGCTTATAGCAATTCTAACAACACCCCACAGTTACAATTATTTAAAGCCAATAAGCAATATGTATGATTCAAAACAAAAGAGATGTGGGCTCTAAATGACAATATGCCTAAATCATCACAAAGATGGGTGAAAGGCCTAGAAGTTGTAATTACTTAAGCCTCTGGCCACTTCCCTTCATACTAAGTAGAGCTAGAATGCTCTCTTGAAAATAGTGAATTAATAACGAGGTGAGACGTAAAGTCCTAGTGACCAAGTATTAATTTATGACAGATACAAGTAGGATGACAAGTTGATGAAGTAGTGCTTAAATATAATTTAAGCAATAAATGTACTTTAATAGATACAACCACATGCAAAGAGTATGTCTCACTATCCACAACACAATTAATACAAAAGTAGACATATGTAAAAACATAATGAAATATGCTCTCCCATCACCATACTCCTTCTTATGACTCCTTGACAAGGATCCAGACTTTCTATGCTGAGTAACCTGACCAAAGGCCACCCCACTCACATCAAGTAACAAGTCCTCTCCTACACCTATACCGCCTAAAAATGGACTATAGTGCAAGAGGTATCTACCCAAGAGCTTGTTCTCAATTCTGGGCCATGGAAAAGGCCAAACACTATGATTAGTAGTGTACACATGCTGAGCAGACTTCAAAAACAATTATCCTCCACATAACATAATCCCAACCTCCACATATGAACCCCATGCATGGTTATAATGTAAATTAAAAATATCATAGTTTCAAAGTCAGATGATATAATTCCAAACAAATTACAGCACATTTTCATTTTATTTAATAACATAATATTAGGATATCAAATTCAGCGTAATGAGAAAACATAATTCCCAATAAAATACAACTCATGTATAATTAAATCGATATACTTCCCACTTCAGCAAAATTTGTCGTATAAGAAAATACATACTTCATTTATAGATACACTTTTACAAATTTAATTTGAGAAAATAAAAGCATAATAAACACCTTACAATCTAAGGCATGCATATAAAATAAATTAATCCCAATTACCTCTACTCCAAGCTTAACATCATAGCTTGAGAACTAAGAGCATAATTACAGACTTCAAAGTACAAGATAATTTACAAATAATATAGACACAATTTAATATAAAGAAATAAATAACTTGATTATATAAAATATATATTTACTACCCATAGTTCTAACTCCAAATTAAAATTCGCAATTATTTATTCTAACATTATTTAAAATTTTTCTCACTCTAAATAATTCATTTAAACTATAAGCTAACTTAAAATTTTATTTTATTTAATTGTATAAGATTCTTAATTTATAACGTAAGTTTCAAACTTCAAAAATTTTCTAATAGTATATCCTTAGCATTTTTAACATTTTAAACCGATTAAAATCTCAATAATATATCAAACAATCCAAATAAATTATTTAACTTAATTTTAATCGGTACAAATATGATATATATCATAAATGACAGATTTTTTTTAAAAAAATTTAATTTTAAATACCAAAAGTAATAAATGGACCAATCTAAACTGATTAAAATCAACTACTCATTTACTTCTAAATTCCTTTGGTCATCTATTATCAAAATTCAATACTTACTTCATACCCAAATCCCAAAATTTTTTCTAATAACTACAATAACACTGCCATTAGAAAGCTTAAATTAATGAAAAGAAATAATTTTATGTGCCTAAATTATCCCCAAAACTTGCTACTCTTCTTCATAAATGGCAGACAGTCCCCTCCATGCTCTTTCTCTTCGCCTTTCTCTTCCTCTCGCTCTCCCTTTCTTTCTTTCTTTATTTTCCTCTCGCTTTCTTTTTATCTGTGACCTTCAACCATTCCTCCCCCACTTTCTTCTTCCTTCATTAATTCCTCCCTTCAACCATCCATCGCCATTTTCTTCTTCTTCATAAATATTCCCACCTTCAGTGGAAAGGGTTTTTTTAATATATTCTATTTTTATTCTATATTTTTATAATAAAGTACTATTATTTTATAATAATAAAATATTATTATTTTATATTATTTAATTATTTTTTTGAAATCATAATAATTAATTTGTTATGCTAAAATAATATCTGGGATGTTACACATGTGGAACCCAATTCCATAAAAAATGATGGAAGTGGTTCCTTAGATAGACCCATGAAACCCATATAAGTTCCATGAAAGTGACAATTTTTGGACAACATTGTCTCCAAGTTATGAAATATTTGGACAACTTTGCCCCTCTTCCAAATAAAAAAGAAACCCTATCTCATCTTCAATTGAAACACAAGCCGCATCCCACAAGTTGGTAGAAGAAAACGAAGGTGGCAGAAGATGCAGGAAGCACAGTGGGCATTACGGTGAAACATGGCAGATGTCACAATGAAGGTAGGAGCACAAGTTGGCAAAGCACTGAGGAAGAGGATAGTAGACAAATGTGATTTTTCATATTAATATCCTTTTCCTAGATTTAGTTTCTACACCTTCTTCTTCTTGTGTTTTTCATAGGGATTATTCTAGGTTTTGTTTAAAGCTCATTCTTGATTGTCTAATTCTTCTTTTGTGGGAATTAGTTTCAATCCATGGTTACTACCTCTTAAAAAATATTATTGTACCCCTAATGCTTTCTGTTTTTTTAATAACAAAACACACATGCATTAAAAATCCAAAAGTTAAGTTTCTTCTAAGCATTTTATAAAGATTGATATGCTAGCTCCCACTGCTTGTTAAGTTCTGTTTGCCGATTTACACTTTCCCCATTAATTTATGAGGACTCGCGTTATTGTGTAGCATGAGTAATGAATTTCCAAGTTCCAAGAGCACATCTAATAGATTATAATATTTTTAAATGATTATGGTATAGGCATCTGGTACAGCTTCTGAATAATTCTTTAGGCATAGGTAAGTTAACCAAGCAAAAGAAGATGAAAAAAAAAACAATGACAAATTTATTGTTTATCAAAGCTCTAATGTATATAACAAAACCAAAGTTTTGATTCCTCTAGTATACTTTGGGTGAATTCATTGTCATGCTCTTATTCATGGTTTGTGTTAGCTTCATTTTTTTCTTTAATATTTAGTTTGAATTCGATTCTGTAACTCCTTGTAAATTAACTTTCTGATATGTTATTACATGTCTTTGTACAGCCATGGATCCAGAAACAAGTGAACTAAGTGTGCATCTATTGGTTTGGTGGTTGCTTGTTGTATTTGCTATGTACTAATATTTTATGAGTGTCTATATCACTATTTTTGTGTGTAAATGATGAATTCCTCGTCATCCATACATTGTGGATTTTTATTTTCTATGAGAGTTCATCTTTAAAATCTAGTGTATAATAGTGATACCACTTGTTTTAACCAAATTAGAATGAAAAGGGCTACTTTTGGCAAGTTATGTCTCATGCTTGATATAAGAGGTGGTTTAAAACCAACTAATAATATATTAGTTGATGAGCAAGTTGCAATGTTTCTCCATATTCTTGCTCATCATGTGAGCAATAGAATTGTACAATTTTATTTTGGGAGGTCTAGTGAAACTATAATTCAATACTTTGACATTGTTTTAATGGCCATGATGCCATTAGCTGAGGAGCTATTTAAGAAACCTAAACTGATTCGTGAGGGTTCAATAAACGAGAAGTGGAAGTAGTTTAAGGTATATTGTTGTTGATTAAAGGGTTAATATAATTTTTTATCCCTCAAATTTGTCCTTATTTTGGTTTTAGTCCCTAAGATTTCAAACCATAGGTTTTGATCCCTCTAGGGACAAAATAGTCCATGTTTTTATTAAATTATAGGGACTAATATTTTAAATGAAAAAGAATTTAAGGGACCAAAACCAAAATGAGAGCAAACTTGAGGGACCAAAAATTGTATTAACCCATTATAAAATTATGTAAATTAATTTTATCATATATTTGATTATACTAACATCACTACTTGGATGCTATTTTAGAATTGTTTAGGTGCCCTTAATGGTACCCATGTTAAAGTGAAAGTCCCTATGAGAGACAAAGCAAGGTATAGGAATAGAAGAGGAGAAATAACACTAATGTGCTTAGTGTTTGCTACCCTGGTGGACAATTTATATATGTTCTCACTAGTTGGGAAGGGTCGGGTATTGATGAGAGAGTTTTGAGAGATACAACTAATAGAAAAAATGGAAGCTTAAAAGTGCCTCAAGCTAAGTGTTATTTTTTGTATACTTGGGAAAAGTAATACCTATATTATTTTGAAGGTCTCTCAAAGTATCATTTCTGCAATAAGTTGAAATCTTTCTAAAATTATTTATCATTTTCATATGTTAATTTAAATTTCTCCTCATGTAG